TGCTTTATCTTTTAGGATTATTCCTAAATGCATCTTCTTTATAAACTTGACTTGCTGTCTCAGCAAGATAAATTATATTAAAAAAAAAAAATAAGAATCCTGCAGTGTTTAAGGAACTCTTTTTTTGTAAATCATGGACACCTCAATTAGCAAGAACTGAGGGGAGGGCACTTCTGACTGCTTTTTCCATTGTTTTTAATGTTGTGTAATTTTAGCTGAAGAGAGGGAACCTCATCTAGGTAATGTTTGCACATGATACAGCAAAAGGAGTTCATTGCAATACTGTCTTTGAATACTGTTTCAGTACTAGGTGTTTAAAGGACAAATAGCTGCTAGAATTCAGGGGTAAATAGAACTGTTCAGAAAACGTGAGAACATTGGGGTTTTTAAGAGTCCTGGTTTATAACTTCGTATCCAGCCCAGCCACCAATAACTCCTGTGCTCACCGGGACCCAGGCCGTCGGCAAGGGGAGACTCCTTGGTGGCATCATGAATTACAGATTTGTTTATCTGCATTTTTTGCTATTTATTTAAAACGGTCGATCAACTTCCCACAAACTGAGGAATGAATTCCACAAGCCTATTCTGAAAATGTGGACATAAAACACTCACTCGTCCTTTAAAGGAGTTCACCAGCACACTTGTTAAGAAGTCCCGTTTGCTTCCGTCTTTTTTTTTTGTGCGTAATAAAGTTAGCTGACCAAGTGATCATGAAGAGGGGCTGTCTGGGGCTCCTGGTTTTTAGCTGCTGTTCCTCTTCAGCTCCGACCACGTTGCTGTGTGATTATCTCAATTGATTTTAATTGAGGCAGAAACTGAAGCTCTACCAATGAACTGTTTAAAAACAAGACACACTTTTGTATTAAAATTGCTTGCAGTAACAAATATTTTGTATTTCCTGCTTACTTCTGAACCATTACCTTATGTGTAACACATTACTCTTTTAGGTACTTCAGTGCATTATTCATAATCCAGATATCTTGATGGATAAATTATGGAGCTCATTAATAGATTTTTCTTATATATTTTATCCTCATTAATTTTATTTAACAAGGGAACAAAGGATCAGACTGTTGTTAATGTAAATCTGTAGGGCTATCTGGCCCACTTACGTGATTAAACAGATAACCAGTATGTAAGAAGATTTTTATTTTAGAAATCACAGATCCTGGGTTTTGAGAGAATGGGGCCAGTTTCCCACAGTAAGCTGATATTTCTGGTTAAGTGGTAGAATTTCAGAGGTAGAAACAAAATTGGTCATCAAATCTTACCTCCTTTGTTTTACAGAAGGAGAAACGAATGGGAAAGTGGGCGAGAAAATCATCTGCCTGAGATCACATAATGAATAAATGGCAGAAGAGGACCTTGAATCTAGTCCTCGGCTCCCTATCCAAGTCAGGCAGTTCTCTTCCCTCCAGTCCCTGGTTGGCTTTATAATATTTAGAACAGCCAAATATTAACTAATTCTGATGACAGGAATTAGACTAAGAAATAACTAGGGAACTTGAGAAGTAAGAGGGGTTGAACATCAGCCATCTGTGTTCTTGATCATTAAGCCATACTCCCCTTGTGTTAGGGGAGTTTGGTAAGATGGACACATGTTCGCCAAAGCTGTTTGAAGCCAAATATCCAGATTAAAAGGAATGTGCAGCCTGATGGATTCTGAAGGAAGTGCTTACTGTATTCTCCATGGAATTGAATAACTTCAGGCTGCCAGAACTTTGTAGGGTGGTGTTTTCACCCAAATCTGCTTCCCCCTCTCGGCCTCCTGGCTGCAGAACCATGCTGAAAGGAGCTTGACCTCCATCTTCTCAAAGTCTGGACCATGGTCACTTGTTTTTCTTACCAAGTAATTCAGGTTTTCCCTCAGTCTTTGCAACAAAGCTCAGCTAGTGGTGCAGTCTGCAGGAAGTGTATTTCCATTCAGTGAACACCTGTGTGCAAGACCATGTGGAAAATATAGGGATGACAGGAAAGGGGTTAAAACTGCAGTTCTGTGATACAAGTGCTAAATAAGTAATGCAAACTTGGTGTCTGCTAGGATAGAGGAGGGCAGGTTCTGGGGCTTTGAATAACAATAGCTAACATGTATTGAGTGCTTCCTGTGTGCCAGTCACTGTGCTAAGTGCTCTGTGTACATTCTCATGTAATTCCCATCACAGTCCTACAATCGTGAGCCTTACTGACAGATGAGAGACAGCCTGAGAGAGGTTCAGTAACTTGCCCAAGGTCACAGAGTTGCCAGGTGGCTGGGGAAGGCCTTGTTTGACAGAACTTTCTCCAAGACACCTTCCCCATGTCAGTTCCCATCCAGTTGAGGAGTTCCAGGATTCCACTCACAGATCGCCCGTCCCCACTTCCTCTGCCCATCTGGGCACTTTGCCGGCCCGTCTGTCAGAGCACAGCCTCTGTTTTGCCTTCAAAAAGACTGCATGTTCACCTGGGGTGACCCTTAGGAGCCACTAGAGGGCAGGCAGCTGGTCAGCTTCATCTCTGGCTCAGGGCACAGCACAGAGCAGCACCGCTGGTTTATGGGAATGTGAAGCCATTGTTTAAAGAGCACAGCCATCTCCACTCATCCTAAATTGAGATAAATGACTTCTATGAATCAGACCAGCACTGGGCTGCTTGCAGTCTTGCTGGGAGGCCAGCAGTTTACGATACACAACTGGAGAATTACAGGCTAGATCTGAGACCTCCAATGATGTATGGACTCAGGGGAATGCAGAAGGATGCCCAGGGACAGTGAAGGGGGCAGGAAATTCAGAGACCCTGGCCAACTCTGACAAGGGAACACCCCCTTGGCTCTGCCCCCTGCCTCTGCATGCAGTCACCAAGCCCTGTGGATTTGCCTTCCTAACAGCCTTCTCCTCTGCCCTCCATTCCTCTAAAGATTCTCCATTAGAGGATCATTGTCAACATCCCCTGACCCCTCCCATCACTGTACTTGTCTCCATCTGTGGGCCCTGACTCCAATCTCCCTCCCTCCAATCCATAGTCCCCTCTGCATCCAGGCTCTGGTCTTGCCTCGAGAACTTTCAATGGCTCATCTGTAGCATTCTCATCCAGCTTTAGCAGCCTGGTGGAGGTTTACCTGTTGAGTAGAAGGAAGACTAGGCATGGACTTAAGTCATCAGCAAATGATTGGATTTAAGATTTGATATTTTTTAAGTTTGAAGTGATCTTGGGGAAATGTGAATTTTACTGGACATCATACCTTTATTTTGAAGTTTAATCTTGAACCCACGTTGGGACGCCATAACCATCTGCTGTCCAGAGCCCCTCACCTGGCCATTTGCCCCCCAGGCTCTCCAGCCTCCACTGAACAGCTCACCTGCATGTGCCCACCTGCTGCAGCCCAGCTCCAGTGTTGTGTGACCTGAGGGAAGTCCCTTAACCCTTGTGTGCCTCAGCCTCCTCGTCTGTTAACTGAGGTGGGGGAGGGGCGGTTAGGTATCTACCCTATGACAACGTGTGAGCATGAAGAAATGGTACAGAACACACTGGCACATGGACAGTGCTCACTGTCACCTGCCACTATTATGCTTCTTGGAGTCTCGGCCTTCGCACAAGCTATTTCCTCTGCCTGGAACATTCTCCTCCCACTGACCTTTCCTTCAACCCAACCAATTCCTTCCGGCCTTCAGAGCTCAGTCTAAGTGTCTCTTCCTCTCAGCGCAGCGCCTTAACCATAAACGAATAAATGCGGTGAGAAGGCGCCTAGGGAAGAGCAGGGTGTGCAGAACGGGGCTAGTCAATGGAGGAGTTTCCGTGAGGAGCCTTCCCTCGCAAGCCGCTGAGGGCCGTGACAATTCAGATGCGCAAAGGCTCAGGAAGGGCACCAGAGCTCCTTGACCGGCAGGAGGCGGGAAGCGGGTGCGCGTATCCCGCGCGCACCGGGGTCCGAAGGGCGCCCAGCCAGACCTAGTGGTGGCAGTGCGGCTGCTGGAGCCGCCGGAGGCGCCAGCCGGGAGCGCGAGGAAGCCAGGCGGGTGGGCGCGCCAGGAGCAGTGACGGAGCCGGCGTCAGGTGTCCGGGAAAGAGCCCCCAAAGGCGCACGCAAGGGGACTGCGGAGAAGGCACCAAGAGGCCGGCGAGGAGCTGCGGTGGCTGGGAACCCGGGCCTGGCTGCTAGCAGAGGGATGCGCCACACTCTCGGGCCTGCCTGTCACCTGCGGGGCCCCTCTACCTCTAGACCCGACTGAGGCATTTCCGGTCCTGGAGCGGCACTCGTGCACCAGGAGGGGCTGCCGGGTCACTCCGGAGTTGGGATGCCGCCCGGGCAGGGTGATCAAGGACACGCCCCGCGGGAGG